TGAATCAATTTTTTCTTCTCATATTTGTGAGAAGAGAGAGAGAAATTGCGCCATGCAGGTATTACGTAACATTTTTTGTTATCGATACTGAATTTCAGAACAGATGTGGAAGTGAAGAATAACGTGAAGTGGACTGAATATCGATGCAACAATAGCAATTACCGATTAAAAATTTCGAACCATCTACTATTACACCATTATTAAAGTAATAATAGTTTTACATAATAAATGTCAACTTTTTCCTTTTTAATTTTATTTTTTTTTTATTCCATCAATTTTTCTTTCGTTTTTTTTTTTTCGACAAATATAAATAAATTTTTTAATGGAAATTTGTTGTAAATCATTTCATTCTGCAATATTTCATTTTATACGTAAAATATACTGTACGAAGTGATTCAATGGTGATTGTATATAATAAAATTAATTTTGATAAATCATTGTTACATTTGGTATTGTTTGAAATTTACTAAATAAATCCCAATTACGTCTCGAATTATTTATTTAGAATACTAATAAAAATTGAAAAATCTACAAAAATTATTGATTAAAGATAGATAGTAATGAAAATATTAGTTGGTTAGTTTTTTTCTTCTATTTTTAAATTAATTTTTATTCGCTGTTGTTTTGTAATTATAGCAATGAATTTAATCATAATTTAATTTTAAAATATTTCCTACTTTTGTGAAGTTATAAAGAGAAAAAGCAAAAAACAAAAACAAAAAAGCCATAAAATCATTGTTTTTTTTTTCGTTTTTTTAAAAAAAAAAGAGGAAGGAAATGATGAATGAATATTTCATGAAGTTTCAATTTGACCTTTTCAGAATGACAGAGAGATGAAAGAAAAGAAAAAAGGGTAATGTGAGATGAAAATTAAACTGTTTGATGCAAATGTGTAAATATAATGGAAGAAAAAAAAAAGACTGATCCTCATAGGCTTTTTTTTTCATTCCTAATTTCTTCAAGAGAAAAGAATGAAATGAAAATATTTATAATTAATCAATATCATATATAACAGACTTTAAGTACAAGCTAATGAGGAGGAAGAGAAAAAAATTTTAATATACATTTTGTTGCAGTCTTTTCTTCCGTTGGGAAATAATTACTGATAAAGAAAGTAACCGCATACTCGAAAATGATCCAACTATTTGATTTATTATTTGAACACTGCATTTATTTATTCAATTTCATTTCTTTTTGTGTTAAAATTAAAATTCCATTTAAAAAATTGTTTAAATATCAGCAAAAGAAGAGGAATAATGAACCTACCGTATTTTTAATGCTATCATTTGCACCATCAAGTTGTAGCATTGCGCTTTCTGACGATAGCAAATTTAATTGAAAAATTTTTTCAAATTTTCAATAAAAATTCTTTAGCGAATTTCACTCAGTTAATGAAAGAATAATAATGAAAGAGAGAGAAATGATGAATGATGTTATATAATTATGTCTGTGAGAGAAAAGGGAAGAGAAAAGGATGAAAAGCTTTCTCTTTCTATCTTCTTATCATTATATCTTTTCTTTCTTTCTCTTTCTCTCTCTCTTTTTCTCTAACCTTTTTCACTTCTTTCTCTTTGCCAATTAACTCTTTTTTTTTTTATTTCCCTCCAATATTCACCATCATCATTTTCCTTTCAATCTATCAGCCCTATCAATACTGGCAACATTAAACAGCCGCTAACTACCGTATACCGAGAAATTTCAAAGTTCTTGCATATATAAATTAACATTGGAATGGCATATTTCAATTTCATAAATTCATCATCATAAATTTTGATATCATATATGAGAAAATAATATTGTTTATGGTTAAATTAATGTTTACTTGTTTACAGTATTATTTACTATTTTTGTTTCCATTTTTTGTTCATATGTTTAACTAAACTTTGTGTAAATACGATTTTTTTTTTTTAAATGAAAGTGAATACATGCATCTCATATTCAATACCTTAAATAAAATACTTGTAATGTAATTTATATTAATTTTTATTTACACAGCTATTTGCCTATTCTTCATGAATGTATCATTGATTATATAAGAGGTCAGTAACCTATCAATAAGTTAACAATATTAACAATTTTATCTGTACCTAATTACTAAATTAATACACAAATGATTAAAATGATTGTAGTATTAGAATACTTCGAGAAAGGTTAATATTTAGCAATACGTTTATGTAAAAGTTGCATTAAAAATTCAGAAAATATCCGAAAAACTAAAAATACCTTCCTTATTTTCTTTACTAACATATTAAATAGACAACAAATTTTCGCAATCCCATTTGATAGAAAAAGAAAAAAAAGAAGAATTAAAATTTCATTTGATATCAATCGATGAAATTGTGAAGGGTGATCATAATCTGAGAAATTATATTCTTACTTCAAAATTTTGAGTTTTAATTCAAAAACACTTCATTATTTTAATTTAATTTCGCGTTGTGCTATTTCAATAAAAATTTATTGTACAGGAAAACAAAAAAATTTCAAGAAAGGAAAAGGAGATGTTTTTTTTTTTTGAGCGCAAATACCAAAATAATCTTACTAACAAATGATATAATTATTAAAAAATTGTATTTCATTTATTGAACTTCATAAATTTCACTTGTTATTTTTATTTTTTCCTAATTTCAAGAAATAAATGCAATTTGTGTGAGGAAAAACTGAACAATGATGAATTTCTTGATCAAATAATAGGAATTAGTATAACTCAACAAACATTTCAATCTTATAAATTCTTATACTCTTTCCCAATCTTATCCTATTCTATTCTATTCTATCCTGTCCTATTCTATTCTACCACACCTCGATCTTATCCTATTCTATTCTACCCATATTTCTTCCCGATGTTTTAATGTTATTTTGAAAGCTCTCACCCTTCTATACAGATCGTTAATCGTAGGCTCAAATGTAAACATATCATTTTTCAGATTATCGATTCTTTTTTAAATTTGTACCTGCAAGTTATGCATGCATGCATCAGTCATCATTAATTTTGCTTTTCATCCATTTGGAATGGGAAAAAATAGAATAAAATAAAACGAAAGATTTTCTTCTTTCAAAAAGCCATCGATGCTAATTTAGGATTATATCAAATTAATGGGGAAAAATATGAATTGAGCAAAATTTTTAAACAGAATAATTCAGTTTGCTAATATTCCACTTTACTAACTTCTCACTCATTTTTTCCATTTCATTTTCAACTGCAGTTTAGGTTTTGAAAATAAAATCCCTAATAAATCTACAAATTATACACAGCAAAAATAAACTGAATCAAATAGAAGGAAAATATTTCATGAGTAGCAATTTTTAGTTTATAGAATACAAACTAACAAACTTCAATATTAAAATCTAATCTGAAAAAAAAAAAACCATCCTCTCTTCTTATCTGTTACATTTTTTTTAAAATGTGATCGTCCACATCCATATAATTCAAGCAATTAAATTTAAAATTTTGGTAGAAAACAAAAAATTTAGAGAACAAAAATTCGAAATTACAAAGATTACTTCAAATTACAATTAATTCATTATACTATAAGGGAAATGAATGAGAGCAAATATAAAGGATAAAATTGATAAAGCTATAAAAAAGTCAAAGATAAAAGAAAAGTTTGAATAAAAATTAAGATTTAAGGTTTAAATAAGAGAGAAATTATTGTTTTATCATATCATCCTGCCTTTTTATCATGCAATCATTAGCAATTGTTCATTTTCGTTACACACAGAAACAGAAATGTGATAGGAAAGATTGAAAAAATGAAATGAATGAAAGATAGTTCTTGTTAAATTATATTTAATATGAAGTTGAAAAACACGATTTGCAAACAAAATCTGACACCTTTTTGCACAGAGAAACTATACAAAGCGGATGCTTTCAATTTTAACCTTTTATATGTAAAATTTAAAATTTTTCTTTTCTTACTAAAATGTGGAACATAAATGAGAAATTGAATTTATTAGTAAAATGCCACATTCCATAATAATGAATGAGAAAACATTCCAATAGCACTTTTGTATGTTTGGGCAAACCGTATCGAATACGTCACGTGTTATGTAAAATAATGTTTAATGAAAGTGAAAATACGTCACGTGCAGTGTAAGATAATGTTTAATAAAAGTGAATGAGTAATTAACATGTGAGATCGAAAAAGAAATCATAAGATCTTTCTTTTGGCTGGAATCAATAAGTGTCAAAGCTGTCACGTAGAAAACGTAAGATAAACTTTTTTAAAAAACATTAAGTTATAAATCTCGAAACTTGGGAAAATAATGAGTAGAAAAAAACTATTCGATCACCACAATATATTGAAGAGATCGTACTTTTTTCAGAGTTTTACTGAATGTTTCGGAAATTTTGAAGAAATAATGAAAATTAGTAAAAATTATTCAATTGAATTTTTGAAACTATTGAAAACGATATAAACCTTAACTTTCTCTCTACATAACGGAAATTAACGAATGAAATTGAACGAATCGATAACTTGAAATATCTTAATTTGGAATATGAATTTAAATCGACTAAGTATTTATTAACTATTGACTATTGATTGGTTTATATATACATATAAATTTGATATTATTCCACATTTAGCATATTTGTTGGTAAACAGATATATTGGTTTAAATTTATTTCCAAATTTTCGGTTGAAAATGTTAATCAATAAGATGCGGTCAAACTTCTGAAGATTTTAGGAAATTTCATTTTATTCAAAAAAAAAAAACAAAGTCATATTATTCAAAACATAACTGACTGTAATACATTGGAAAATTTATTGATAAACAGATAAATTAATAAAAATGAAGCAGGAAACACAAAGAAATTATCAATTCATCTTTCACGATTACTACATATAATTTCTGGAAATGCATAAAACCTATGCATTTTTGCACATTTAAACTTTTCAAAATTGCAGCCAACAAAAGATGTTAGCCAGAAAGTTCAAAAAAGAGCATGGCTATAAAATTAGATAATTTTTAGTTGTGAATATAAATGATTTTAAATGAATTTAATCCAGAAATTCGAAAAGCTGGTTAAAATCGAGATCCACTAAATGGTCATGAAAGACGCATAATTTCAGATATACATGGTATGGCAACTTTATGTGATCATTCAACGTATTGATTAAATTTTTGGGAGGGGTAGACACCAACCAATTCCACCGTCGGGACAGGTTTTCGTCCAGCAATCTAAGTCATCCGGAATACAGCGTTCTACAGATGTACATAGTTGACTTGCATTATAACACGATGATGAAATCAAGCAACATCTACGACTGTGATATGATAAACCGGAATCAGTACCGGATCGGATGTTAGGTTTTGCTAAAAGTATTGAAGAAATCATTTTAAATGGTGAATTTAACAATGAAAAGAAATGTTTACCTATGTAAACATTCTTTTTCTATAATACAACAAAAAATTTTAGAGTAAACAAGAGTCAAACTTCTTCAACCAAATCTTTCATTAAAATATATCGAAGTTTTTTATTCTTTTTTTTTTTGAAACTACTTCTTTAAATTTTAAACTTCTTTCAGATAAATAAAAAAATGGAAATTTGAATTGAAATTACAACTAATTTAATCCAATTTTGTATTAATTCCACTTCAATATAAGTTGCTTCAAAAAAAAAAAGAAATTAAAAAAGAGACAAAAAAGAAATCAATACCAATTGTTGTAATTGGTGTTTTCTTCAGTGAACGTTTACAGAGTGCTGAATAACCTGAAGCATAATTGCAATCCCATTCATTCCAGGATCCTTCTGGACGATCAAAATCGAGCCACATTGTTAAACATAAATCTGTTCCAGATGGTAATTCTAAAGTGATAAAATGACATGAAATATTATTTTTATATTAATGATGAAATATTGAATTGAAAACCTCAATTATCCATTTAAATATCAAGCAAACAAAAAAAGCTCACCACCTCGAAAACCATCTACATGTCGTCCAATTGTACCATCATTCCATTCATATGCACCAGTTTGTGTTAATTTTACCAATCGTCCTAACCATAATGTTGGCGTTGACAAATTTGCTTCCTTTGCTACATCTTAAAAACTGACAATTCATAATCTTTCCTTCTTCTTTAATATGAATTTTAAAAAATTTCGAATTTTTAGAAATTAGTACTTTTTTTTTTCCATTGAACAATTTTTTAATTTGAAAATAAACTTACTAAAAGCAAACATATTTTCATATTCATCCATAATCGATGCTAAATGTCCACCAAAATTAACACATGCTCGTTCGGCTTCAGACCAACGCATTCGTTGTTCGATTACATGAAAGCATGATTTGGTACGTTCGTAACGTGTCCAACCACGTGGACATTCTACTTCATGTATATTTGATGACTGATCTGCTGAAATGAACAGTTTTTGATTGATTGTTTTTGAAAAATCAAATTACTCAAAAAAATTTTTTCTTATCATTTGTAGAACTATGTTTGATTTATATAAGTAATGTTAAATAGGTACGATAAAATTATTTTATTAGTTTGTATATTGCAATCTTCAATAGTTCTGACAATTCCCAATACGTTTTATTTTTAATAATGCTTCAAAAGAAGGCTTATTTTTTTTTTTTTTTTACAAATAATCAATGCATTTACTGGAGCATTAACAAAGCTGCTGACTTATACCTTATGACAACCTTATATGGATCTGTCAACCTAACATTTCAATATTTATTGACCTAATAATTTTTTAAAATTCTATTCTAACAATTTCTATATGATATAATCGTTATCATTGCCTAAACTTTTCATGATTTTTATCGACGCCTTACCGATAACTCAAAGGAAAAGCGTAAAATTGAAGTGTTCAGATAATCTATGATAAATTATTAATAATTACATCTTTTCAAAAGATATTTATGTTCTCCAAAAAAGTGAAAAATTTATAATTACAAATTCAAGCAGAAAGAAACTAATAAGCCTATTATCTTACCATTATGATATCTGATGTCAATATCAGCAGCAGTAGTCTTTGTTGAAACATGTCGTAATGGTACCAAATCAAAGATAAATAATAAAAAATGATAATTGACGAGAATTATTTCACGCGACATCATTTGATTATCCTAATATTGTTTACCGTCGACTATTTGACTTTACTAACTTTCACTATGGTATACAGTTCTCATCGAATATGCCATTTGTTTATGTGATGTTCAACGTCGATAAACATAAGCATCAATGTGATATTTGATATAACAGTATCCTTTCATATCATCAAATCAACATCACTAATGAAAATGTAAAGAAAAAAGGTGTTATTGACTGAATCGCACCTTTTTTTGTTTTCAAAATGTAAACAAAATTTGAACATTTCAGTTTTTTTTTCGCCCAAATGTACTGTTTCAAGCACAATAAAAATTTTCTAAATTGTTATATTCTTTTCTATAGAATATTGCACATGAATATATAATCATGTAGAGACTTTTTTTAAGATAATTTATTCATAACACATAATACTTTTTAAATTTTTTTACATTATGTTGTTTAATCATTCATTTCAATTAATTGTTAAATTGATAATGAAGCATTTCCGATCATGACTGAAGTTATTGCAGAATAATTACATAGTATTCGGTGATCTTAATCATCCTACAAAATTCGTTTTGAATGTTACCATTATACTGACACAGAAATTTGGCCAGCTTCAAATAAACTAGCCATAAGCTTAGAAAATATCAGATATGCAATTCTATTAAATAGATTAAAATATCATAAGTTTACATCAGACGACTGATGCACATTAACAACAAACTCTATCAAAAGATTCAATTTTTGGAGAAATTTCAACTTATAACAAAATATAAGTAATAACGCTCATCATATCCTCTCATATATTTTAACAACAATCTTTCACATTTGTTAACACATTTGTTAGTGAAATACAAATAAAATTTGTAATAAATCCTTATCCCACTTTTTTTCTAATTTTATTTTTTATAATGCCAATTAGGTACCATCTTTCCACACAAAATTCATCTCGTGTAAATATACCAGAATTTATAGTTGAGAAGCTATAAACACTTAATGTCAGCTGTCCTGGATATCTGATATGGCAACCTGAAAATTTCTCTTGGATTAGAAAATGGTAAATTGGTTGAGATCACATATCAAATAAACGGTTTTCCTAATATGCATATATCTATATGTGGTTATTGAAGATATCAAGTTTTTGAATGCAATAATAAACAATAAAAGTGTTGCGCAACAATATCTTCACTTGGTCAAGTTCTAATTATTACTTTTACTGCATCAGATGATGCATAACTACTTACTGACTAGTTATTCATATTTGAACAGTAATTTTTAATCATATAACCAAGGAAAAAAGAGGGCAAAAATAAAACTGATGCATATATGATTAGGAGAACTAACAACCAGCCATAATTGTTACATTATTAATAACCACAAATAAAATTTTTCCATATAAAAACTCAATAAAGATTTTTTCAAGAATTAACCAATTCAATTTCATCAATTCAGGCTGATATTATTTGCCCTGTCTTTCAATTTTTGTTCAATTTTTTTGAATTTTCAATTTCAATTTTTTTCTTTTCAATCATCAAATGATTTTAATTTTTATTGTTTAGTTTTGTTTATGGAAATATTTTTGCAGTATTGAGTTCGGAAATCATTTTGACTTCTTACTTCAGCTATTACAGCATTTTTGAATGAGAATAGTTTCTACCACATCCTATTTAAGCTTGTTACACTTTGAAAATACAAAAATGTAATAGACATAACTTTGTTTCTTTAAACAGGCAAAAAATACAATTTAGACATACAATTAAAAATATCAAAAGCAAATGCTTAACATTAGAAAAGAAGAAAAAGAAATGAAAATCAAAAGTGATAAAAATTTTAAATACAGTGTTATGTATTATTTATTACTTCAAAATTAAATAATAATTTAAAGCTTAAACATATCTATCTATTAGTAGAACGATAAATGCTAATTATGCTAATTATCATAGGCAATATGAAAGATGATGAGTTGCTAATTTTCATCAAGCATACTTTACTAATTATGAATAATTACGGTAGTCCAAATCAGCTGATGGCAGCACTTGAAGTGATGATATTAATCATATCGATTATAAAAATGATCCAATTAGCATATAAGCAAATGCAAGATTGACCTATTTGATGACGTACTAATGATCATTTAGAAATATTAATGAATTTTTCACTCTGATCTCTCTCTAATTTCAAGCAAGTAACAAGTTATGATCAAGCGGAGTTGGTCATATATTAGAAGAATGGGATTATAACCCGATCGTCGATAGCTAATTCCCTATTATAGCTCCAGACGTTAAGACACGTTAGTTACGCATCCTTTTTTTTCAAAAAACAAAAATTACTTCTGAAAGATTCAAACAAATAATATTTACCATCAGATCATTTCTCATCTATTTTATCTACTAGTTTTGCCTGTATTGTATGTAATGATAATTTTTCAAAAAAGGGAAAAAAAATATAATGAAAATAACAAATTAATAGCTGAAATTTTCAGTGATGGAGTAAATAAAAACCTGAAACTCTTAGTTTATTCTCAGTATTATTACTATCCCAACACTATTCGGCTAGTAAAAATTGTAACACTTTGTTTGTTTTTATTTAAAACGCTCCAAAACACTGTTAACTTCGAAAGGAAAAATATCAGAGTGATGATAAACAATAAAAGCAACATAATAGTATATAAGGCTGTATGGAAAAATGATAAGGATGGAATAAAAAAAAAAAGGTGTCATCCATTTCATATCGGAAGAAAAAAGACCATAGAAAGTTTGGACGACAAATTCGTAATGTCACAAAATTATAAATTCGAAAATTCCAAAACTATTTTAATGTTGAGATGAGAATTGTATGCGAAAAAAAGCGAACTACAAAAATGCATTTAATAATAGAAAAAATGAAAAAACACAAAATTTACATTGTTGCTTCGAATTTAACAATCGTTAAATATGAACAAAATTTGTGAGATTACAATGTTGCATTGCGTCATATATTTATTATGCATGTGACTGAGATTCCTATTTCTCAATGATAGGAAGGATTCAGATAAATGTATAGATAGTTAAAAATAAAATAAAAACTTTGTATTGGTATAGGACATGTCATATAAGTACTTTACAAATTGATGGTTAAATTCGAATAGAATCATAAACAATAGAATAAGAACAAAAATCATTCTTTTTTTTTATCTATCATCATTTACAAGCAATAATACTCGACTTTTGTTCTCTTATCACATCGCAAAAAAAAAAAATGAAAATTAATTATGGCACATCAACAGTCGACGAAATTAATATAATTCGAGATGTTAAGAAGAATGGAAAGAGCACGAATTTCAATACATTGAACTATTTTCAACACTGATGCTAACAAAAGATATCATACAATGTTAATAATTCGAAATAAATAAAAATCATTTTTTTTTCGCTTTTTGATTGGTGAAACAATCAATAATTGATTTATGCACATAAATCATGACTAGACAAATCACACAATAGTTAATCGCCAAAAATCGACTGATAATTGTTGCTTTTTTATATATAATTAAAAATCAATTGATCAATCAATAATTGCCATATTTATGGACTGTAAGGATACAGATGACCGGCATCCGGTGATCCGCTCCCATCAGCAGCTGTTTTTGGTGGCATTTGCCACGTGGCTGTGTAAATATGATGACGAGGGCCCTTCTTGGAGAATGGATCATCTGATCCGATCAAGAGGTATCGATTTAAGTGCCTGAAAATGAACATTTGCATAATTCTTGTAATAGTGTATATGCAAATGTATAACCGGATTTTAAAGTATATTAAATTTCGAATATTGGCAAAATCTTGGCTTTAGTCAAAAATAGCTAGAATTACCCAAAGACATTCAATAACGAACTATATCTGAAACATGACTAAACATCGATATCCTTGATGAAAATGTTGATGCTAAGTTTTCAAATTGTTCAATAATTATTCAAAATGTTTGCAGTATGAATTTTCCGGATTTTACTAAATCCAATAATATATAGCAATATTTGAGAATATTTTTCCAACTATGATATAAGTGCACAAACATGCATCGTACATTTATTCAATCATTGAAACTTTTATAGTATGGTATGCTAATGACATGTTTTATAAAAATTAGTGATGAATAAATAATCAAAATTTTGGAAAGTGTCGTAAATATTGGAAGATTTAAAACTTTAGATAAATTATTAATAATTATCAAAACTTGCTTATATAAAAATGAAACAAAAATTTTGAGATGCCATTTCTTACCTGTAAAGCTTATAAACAATATAAAGGAATAGCATTTCCAATATTGCCACTGCAAGATATATTGCAATAATCATATAGCCAAGTGTTATAGTTGCTAAAAACTGTTCCAATTTTTATAAAATTTATTTGTCAGCAAAAAAATTTTATATTCTTAAAAAAAAAGCTATAAAAGCTTTTATTTCTTCTTTGGGAATAACAAAGAATAATTTGTACTAAAATTTTAAAACCAATTTCTAATCGTAATAATACTGTAATTATTTCAGGCGAGAATAGAGAAGTAAATAAATCTTGAATTGATCTTAAAAAATTTCATAGAAACAAGCAAAATGTTTAGGTTTTCTCTTCCGGTTTCCATTTTATTTGTTCAAAAACTTTGTCATTCCTCCAAAATTATACAATGTTTTAGGATTATTTGAAATCACTTGAAGGAATAACAAAATATATTCAAAATTGTATAAATTATCTTTGAAATTCATAATATTCTGTTTGCCAACTTTTTTCTTTTCGCATAAAAATTTTTGCTTTTAAATTAAGAATATAAATGGTTAGGATCAAATTTTAAAATGTTTCTTTCTTTTATCATTTCAGCAATTTGCCCAAAAATAAATTAGGCCAAAAGGAGTTATGAAAATTTAAATGGCGAAATAAAAAAAGAATTGGAATTAGTAAGAATTCTGATGAAAGGAAACCATCGTCGGTGATATGATAACTTGCGTGACCAAGAAGATTTCGAATACCGCGGTATGCACCAAAGATTAGCAGCAACGTAA